AAACTTTTCCTGGTTTCCATTGACCAGTAGAGTGGCAAAAACTTTGTTAGGGTGACGACTGGAGGCTAATGCATTAACCTGCTCTTTCACTTCAATCTCTGCCACATATTCATACTCCTCATCTTTGGATGTGTAATCCACAGACAGCACTTTCTTCTTAGATTCTTGGCAAAACACCGCAAAATGGTTTGGCTTGCCACAATTCTTGCAAGATGTTCCCCATGCACAGCAGTTCTTCTTAGTGAAGGGATGGTGCCTGGAACAAAACTTGCACTTGTGTTCTTGTGACTCGTTTTGGTTCTTCTCTGGAACCTTTGTCTTTTTTTCAACTGTTTTTCTTTTGTCTCCCTTCACGAAACAGGCATCCTCTTGATCCATCTCCTTTAGCTGCCTTGCTCATGTCTGCGAAGATCTGCAGATGTCTATACATTGTCCTAAAGTGAGCTTGCTTGTCTGCAGGAGCTTCTTACGAGCAGAATTGTCATTGATGCCCACCACCATTCTATCACAAATAAGTGAGTCTGTTAATGACCCATAATCACATGTCTTTGCTAATTGTCATAATGCGGTGACATAAGCTGATTCATTTGACTCTTGGTTGAACTCAACGGTTGAACACAAACCTTTCATAGGTCTCATTGCACTCCCCGATGCAGTGTCGTTTCATCTTTTCTAAGATCACTTCTGCGTCTTTTCTTTGGTCTTCGTTCTCAAACTCCATAGCATCAATTATGTCTAACGCATCGGAACTGATGCACGTAAGCAACGTGGCTGCCAGTCGTTCCTTATTTCTAACCGGGTTTTCGGGGTCTTTTAGCTGAGCCGTGATTTCATAATTTGATCACGCTCAACAGAATCGTTGCCATTTGCCAGGAAGATTTCCAAAGCTTAAATCCATCCTTTCTGGAAGCGGTATATTCACAGGAACAGTTATTAGCAAGGGTTGTGTACCTGAAGCGCCACCACCTTCTTCACTCATGGTAGGCATGATACTTGTACAGAAATATCGACAGAAGAGTTCACAGAAAATACTTCAAAAAAACTCACCAAGTTGGCTTCCGGCCAGGCCACGAGCAGCAGTACTGTGCATTTAACTTCTGACACCATGTAATGTAGTCTAAACAAGACCAAACAATGACAACACAACGTTTTTAATAAAGCTCATAAAAGCCCACCATTACTAGCTGTAATATGACAACAACTACATCCAGGATACATCTCATTCTACTGCACAAGCCCAAAGGGCCTATGACATCATAACATCATTACACAACATTGCATCACCTAGCCAGCTAGTTTCTTGGCCAATTTGGGTAGTTCACATGGACATTGATGTTCCAATGTACTCTTTTCCCCCATGACTCAGGTCTCCTGTGACTCAGGTTTCTCCCTTATATTTACACCAGTTTAAGGTTGAGTTGTGTGATCATCCTGAAACAATCAGTTGCCTATGGGCTGCCCAGTTTCTGGGATGGCTTCCAAACTGGCTTTGAAAACTCTTCAGATCTCTCAGATCAGCTTCATCTAACATGTCCTTTGCCTTGGAACATCCTTGTGGTAGATGCTCTCTTTCAAATGTAGTTTCCTAGCTCAGAATTGCTGGCCTCTTCTCCTCCCCTCCTTTCTTGCACATCTTATCAGTGGGTTTGGAGTGACCCCAAATGGCAACCAACCTGGCAAATGGCATTTGATCCTGCATAGGATATATCATCTCTACTTGGGCATATTGTCAATAGTGTATCCCAAAGTTCCATTCACAGTGCAGAATGTCACATAAGACTCCTTCATTGACAGCATCATGGCACACAGCCATGGTACTTTAATGGCTAAGTTTGATGTAGCTACTGTTTACCGTAATGTGGGAATAAAATAGCACAGCAATTATTTTGTGGACATGGATCTCCATTACAGCTTGCACTCAGCCCCATTTATCTCCACAGTCATTACAGACTTAGTCCAGGAGCCAAGAGAAAAAGAATTGCACAGTTGTTGGACAGTTGTTTCTGCTCCTGGTACAGTTTTCAAATTGTCTCCCATTAGCCACCTTCACCTTGTCTGCAAGGTTTGCCCCCCCCCCATGGTCATACATTTTTGTGCCATATGATCAACACATGCTGCTGAAACAACCAGCCCATCAGGCTGAATTTGGATTTTCTGTTGGACTTACCCTGGTGGTGGGGGTTAGAATCAACTCAAAGTAAGTTAACCAATAGGTGCCAGTTCTTTCTTACATAGGACCTAGCTCCACCAAATCATGAGGTCTACATCTTGGCTCAACACTACTAGATCACCTTCTGCAGGCAGGATGGTTGCTTGCATCTTTATGGCTTCCTTCCTCCAGCTGATGAGCAGATGTACTTTTTGACAGTACTTGCCAACAGCCTGAACTACTCATCAATTAGGGTTTCCCTCTTGGCAGTGCACTCCCTCCACATTGACTGTGGCTTGCTAATCCATTAGTCATTTGTTGTCAGCTTCAAGGGAACAAAGCAGGTCCAAGGATCTTTGCCTTCCAAGTGCCTCCCTATAACTATTGATCTTTTTCAGACTAATCAACTTGCCCTGAATCTGGATGTCAGAGACCACATCATGCTATGGGCCACATGGTGTTGTTGGCTTCTTTGGTTTTTTGCAAGCTCAGGAATTCACAGTCAGTTCTACCTTTGAATAAAGTGTTCATCTGTCTGTTAGTAATCTGCAAGCTGACTTTGTGGTGAATCCCTCCTGTGTCATAGTCCACATTTAGTGTTCCAAGACAGACTCTTCCGTGTGCACTCTCCATGTGGGCTGCAATAGTTATGTAGGCCATGGAGACAATGTGGCTTCTCTTGTGTTGACCCTTGGTAATTGCCATAAGACGTGTGGTTGTAGCCCTGGGGCCTCTGTTGTTGCACGAAGATGGTTGCCCAGTGACTCAACGTTTGTCCTCCATAGGTCAGTCAATTCTACTCTCTGCAGGCTTTTTTGGTTCGTACTCTGGCCATACCTTTGAAATTGGCACTGCCACCATGGCACCATCTTGGGGCACTCCAGATCACATAATCAAGACGTTGGGGTAATGGTCTAGAAAGGCCTACCAAATTCATATCAGAACAGCAGTCTGCGTCATCACCAGCATTTCCCAACAGCTAAGGTAGCACATATGGCCAAGCCAGGGTGCCTCAGATTTGGCTGTTCTAGGACCTGTGGTGGGTGTCACAAACCCTCATCATGCTCTGAGTTGTTCTTAACTCAGAGATCCCTTCAGCCTGGTGTATTGGGTTCCATTTGGGAACATCAAGGTACATGGCCTCTGGTTCAGCTTCCCAGTTTCACCCCCAGGCATTAGTTAGGTTAACCATCCTCCACTTGCAACATAACCATTAAATATAATCAATATAATGTAACTTGGTTCATGGCAAATGGCAAGAGCCATCTCAGCATTTCCTCGCATTGAGCATATGTTCTTACTCTTGCAGTTCTAGTGGCACTGCATGCAGGCTAGTCTGGGGTCAGCAGTTCCATGTGTTGTTCATGTTTAACTGTAGCACTTGGGTATTTAGTGGGCATTTTTTCACAGCATTTTGACGTTTGGACATTTTCAATCCCTATCCCTACCTATAATGTGGTGTTTTCCACCTACTGGTTTTGTTCTTTAAATTTTAACTGATTGTGCTACAGATTCAGTGTGATGGTGCCAGGGTAAGTGGCACATATGTGGCTCCTGGCTGGGTTACCAGTTGGGGAGGTCAATAGGGTATATCGCCTTGTGTTCAGCTTTGCAGTTTCAGCCCCCAGGCAATGCTAGGGCACCCAGTTGTCCATTTGTGACATAGGCTTTTACGTATTGATAAAAAGAGCCAGAACATGTGTTATGGAACTGAAATTACTCAAACATATTCTATAAACTTTCATGAAGTTAAAATTAAATTCAGTTCAAAGAGAATGTACACAGAAGGGGGTCCTTGGCATTGGAAATTCACACTGATAGGGTGTCAAGCTAGGTGTCTAGGTAGTTAGAGCATGTACGCTTATATGTTTTTCCCAATAAGTAGAAAGATCCACAGACATTGATGCAGAACAGGTAAAATAAAGGGTCCTTTCCAATCAACAAAAACTTCCCAAATTTGTGAAACAAGGGTAAGTGTTTTGGAAATTTCCGGGGAAAGTTTCCAGAAAATTCAAAACTTGTTCACTTTCTGCTGATTCACCAAACATAAACAAGTAGTCTGCATGAGGAAAAAAAGGCTGTTTGCTATTTCTTTTTGTTCCAGAGAAATTTGAGTTTTTAAAAATGCAAATTAGCCAAATGATGTCATAAACTCAACCAAATTTTGATCAAAGATGAGGAAAAAAGAGATCTCAACCATTTCGAATCAGAAATGTTTGATTCTTTGCAGTATGATCCTACTAGAAGTGCTCTACAATATGAGCTTAACAGTTTTGCTACCATGGACACATACTGGGTTCCAGACGTTCCCGATATTAAAGCATTTTCTCACCACCTGTGGCATTCCATTTTGATGTTTGCTAAATGATGCCTATCTGCATGATCCAGCAAGTATATTAATATGTTAGGTTGAGTTTGTGACCTGTTTAATGTTTTTGGAGTTGAAAATCACTAAAACATTAAAATCAGATTGGATGGGACTGGAAAAGAGTGAATTGCCATGAAAACAGACTGATTTATAGCCATAGACATGTTGCCGGTAGCCTACCAAGTTATAATGGTCTCTGCTGCAAATTAGAGCTCTATTTATATACTTGATGTAATATTGGGTTGAGTGTATGATGTCATCAGTCCTCTCCTTGGCACGCTTTACACATCTTTCAAACTTAAATATCCTCAGAACTAATGCAAATATTTGGTAATGGTAAATGGCATTTTTAATCTTTCGTGGAATTCTATAGGATAGGCCAAAAAATTCAAGTGGTAAAACATTTGATCACAACATTATAGGACTTAAATGATAGTATATTTATACTGAAGTACTTGAAGTATATTTTATACTTGAAGTATATTTACACTGAACTTAATCCATTAGCAAACCTGTTTGATTAAAAGAAGGCACTTCAGGAGAAACTCTCTTTTCATATCCATCAGCAGTTACAATAGAAAGGAGAAGGAAAAAAGCTATCACAAATCTGTAATAAAATAAAAGTATGTTCAGCAAAAGATCTCTAGCATTACAAAACAAATGCATTAACAATTGCAAAGCAACCATGAATACCAAGGATGTTGCTTCTCCTCCTCTGGATTGAAACCTCTTAAAAAATGAAAAAAATCTACAAGGTATTCAAAAGCACACCAAAACATGCAGGAGCAAATGCCAATGTTGTCAAATAGAAAAAGTCATGATTGGGTTCATGACCCTGCAAAATCATATTGACTTTAAAAAGAAGTTGGAGGAAAAGAGCAATTACATCAACAAAAGAAATTTATAAATGGAAAATAATTTAGCTTTACATCAAGGCTTTCAATCACAATTTTTAAAACTTAGAATTTCTCTGCAACTAGGAGCACATGTTTCAAATTTTGACACAATATAAGTAGTAAACACTGTACCATATACACCCTTTCTTCATAAGAATATATTTCATAAGAATATCTAGTCTGAAATTTGCAAAATTTTGAAGAACATATTTTAAGAACATATTTTACATTGTATTGCAAACTTCTGTGCGTCTCAAAAGAAATCATTTCTAACAACACCAAATGTCGAAAACAAATGGTGCCATTCATGTGAAACACTTGAAAGTACTGGTGAAATGAAACCGATGATGAAATTAATTTTCACCAGCAATTTCATAATTTCTCAGAACTTTGAAATTTATTTCCTTTACTTCCCATGGGAAATTGTTTTTGGTGTTATTTCAGGCAAATATTTATATCTTTAGCTTTAAGAAAATGCAGAAAGGACTGTAATTTACTTTAAGTTATTCTGTTACAAGGTTTTAGTCCACTAAAAGTTGAAAATGCTCGATTTCCTTTCGGATTTCGTCTTAAAACAATATTCTTATATAAAAAAAGTCTAATTAAATTAATTATCTTTAATTTCAAATTAAAATAATTTTCACCCACATAAATTCAACGGTGCATTACATTTATCAAATTGACTAAGTAGTAACAAATCTAAAACACATGCAAGTATAAGCATTTGCATATTTTTTTCTTTTCATTTTTTTTTTTTTTTTTGACTGCATATGTATTGTATTTTTTATGATAGTTGTCCTTCTTCTAGACTAACTTCTGTAACCTACATCTAAAACCATGACCGTGGGGGATTCCCTCTATGCAAAATAGAAACATTAAACGAGTGGCCAAGGAGAGGTTCTCCAGAAATAACATACAAAACCTGGCACAGAGAAATCACACTTCCAGTCGCTATAAATCCCAGTTAGTGCACTCCCGTGTTGAAATTTATCTAATTTAAAAAGCGTGATGGGTCCGGTCCAAGATTAATCTTTCTTGTGTATTTACTTTAGAATTACTATTTGGCTTAACTTCACTTGAAAACAGAGTGGAAAAGTGGCTTACAACATCGTAATGACCATAATGACTTTGAGGTTATCACTGTCAGAGATATTCTTGAAATGTAAACATTCGTTTACCGACAAGCCAGCAACCACTCACTTGCTTTTCTGAAACGTAAATATTCTTACTTCGATCATTTCTATTGAAACTTCTAGTAGACACAAAATAACCTAATACAAAATATCACAAATCAATATAAGTTGTGACAACTATTTTTCAACGCGCGATTGTATTTGCGACACGTAACCCCTGTGTGAACAAATTGATTACACTGATGGCTTTCAAAATACCCATAGCAAAAAAGGGATACAGAATGGGGTTTTGTGCAATGTCGTTCCTACAAACGCCCGCAGGAAAGACACTACTCACCTTACAAGTTTGCTAGTGAAAAGCCGACGGAAGGACTTCGGATTTCCCACTTTCAAATGGGCAAACACGTCCTTCTTCACAGGGAACGAGGTAATCATCGCATCCTCAAGGCAAGGCTTACACAAAGGAATGACACTGGATTAGGTTTCTATCTAAAAGGAACTCAAGAACAAAATCTCACTGTGAAAAAAAGCGACATTTCTATATATTTTATTGACAGCTGACGAAACTCGTCACGTTTCGACGAGAACCGTCACGCGGTTCACGGCTCTCGTTGAAAAGGGTGGTCTTTGTAAGTCTACAAAGCTATGTGATGAAACTACCGCGTAATCAGACGGATTAAGAAACGGAAAACACACAATGGTGATGTGGCGTTGAAAGAAACAGCTCTTTCAATGTACCAAGCGATTCCACACTCGTTTGCTTGTGAGAGAAAACTATCTAGCTTTCCTATACTTCCGACGTAGTAACCTTCCTGAACTAAAGTTCTAAGACTTCTGCAGTCATCAACATGGCACTTGCACATTATATTTCAAATAAGACAATCTAAGGATTCAAAAGAAATCTTTCTAAAAGCACTTTTTGAGGACGAAATTGCGCCTACCTGCAGTTTTCAGTCTGGAGAATACTGCCGGCCTCGGTATTTTGAAAAACGCTGCACGCGATCTTTTTCAGTGCAAGCCATGCGTCAGGACTGGATCCAAGTGGCTTGACTGGGTGTCAAAGAAAGACTACAACAAGGCCTTTGTTGCTTGAACAGGGAACACCTTTGTCCGCTAATATGCTCTGTCGGTGTGCAGGTTCGCAAAATGCCGACAAAATTGTTTCAAACGCCTTTAAGTTGTTTGAAAGGAGACCAAAATTGCACACTAAGTTAAAGAAATTGAGCGGGTTCCATAAATTCTACGCTCAATAACAAGGACAAGGACAAGAAATCTTGGAGGGAAATGCAATCCGTGTGAGGGCTGCGTGACAAAATGTCACGCAGACGTCTGGTACCAACTGAAGGAAAACTTTTGTAAGGAATTCCGCTGAGCCACAGCAAAATTTACAAGATTATAAATTTATCTACCTATATTTGGAAAGATATAAAATTTTAAAATAAGCGAAAGCTACAATATTACCCATAAATAAATTACCTATAAGGTCAGTCCGTAGAACTAAGCTTTTTTAGAGGATCAGCAAAGGTTCATCTTGCTGAGTATAAACTTATGAAAAACTTAAGCCTGAGATTTTGCACATATAAAAAACATGTCCCAAGAGTTTTTGTCTGTCTCTTCAATTGCGCCCTGTGGGGTATTATAAAGCATTTATTTTTTTCCCGCTCAAAGTCTTTTCTTTTCTTTTCTTGTCCGAAGAAATAAGTCGGAAAAAAAAGACTAGTAGTAACTCGTAGACTATAATATTTCTGGCTAACCTGAGCTCTACGCCTATACAGCTACCTCTTACACTTACAAATACATAAAAGCCGGCAGCATCATTTATTTTATATGTAAGTTAAATGATTAACCTGATTTCTAAGGGACATAAAAAGCAGCAGGTAAATTTTTAAATACAAGCAATAAGGCTTAGTTTGAAGACAAATTCATAAGGTTCTTGGCTCATGGACTAATAAAATACACACTGTGCGGTTGGTCTATGATACAATAATATCATATTATGTGTCTTGAGACTAATATGACTGAATCTTTCAACCCCTCTTCTTCTAGAGGCTTCTTTCGCTTCTGTTCCCGGCTTCTAATGCCCCGGGGTTATGTCTGACCGCACAACTGAAATTGATACAGGGCCGAGCTGAACAAACTTCCTGCCTGGATATCTTGTTGTTCGACAAACAATTTGCACTTTTTTTTTACAAGAATCTTTATTTCTAAGAACATAGAGGCTGAAACTGGCGAAATTTTAAGAATATGCTAATAATATACCCAGGGCCGATATTTTTGCGTGTTGACGGAAAATGAAATACAATAAAAACACGAAATTTTACCATCGAAAAGTATGGTAAATTCCCTCTTTTGAAACATACTAGCTAACAGAGCGATAAAAACTGCTTATAAGGTTATTATATATTGTAAAAGCAACTGCGCAATGTAACACGATACAGACGTCATACAGTTTTTCCTGGTCACATCCGTTTTATTTAACTGAAATATATGTATAATGCTTTGTAATATGAGAATGTACACAGGAATATATTTCCCCTAAAGTCGGCAGAAAACAAGACTTTTTTTGTATTCAGTCTGGGTATGAAAAATGTACATTCTTATAAATATATAAAAAGAGTGTATCCTTGACGCGTTCTAGCGGCGATACAAACCAAACTCCCATGCGTAAGTCGAGGAAGTCATCGCTTTACCGCTTTACTCTATAAAATGATCTCTGTTTAGAGCTATCTCAGTATTTTCTAGGACGCTGGGTAACCTTGTGAAAACACGACAACTGTTTAAAAATTTACACCTCTTTTGGGGGCGAACATAAATTCGAACCACACCTACAAGACGACATATGGGGTTCTTCCTTTCAAATTATCGACGATCACCTCTGTCGCGTTATATGTTACTACGTACATTAGTTGCAACATACAGGTCAGTCATTATATGTGTGTGTCCTGTGTAAAACTCGGGCCAAGCAAGTAAACAGTTTGCTTTAACTACATGTAATGAGAACATCGTGGTACTTCATCGCAGACTTCCACAACTATTGTACGTAACGGTTGCAGTTCTTCATAAGTCGGTGCGCCGGTCGATTAATATGTAAAACAACCCCGTTCCTCCAACTAAAACGAAAAGAGTCGATTAGAAAAACCTTTATCGGCCTCATTCCACCATGGGGTTTAAATCAAGTACTGTTATGAATGGGGGCAACAGAACCACAGGTCATTGGACATTACTGACGCCTAAGAATACTGACAAAGAATGTGCCCCTTTATTTTTCTTCTGTGACTATTTATGTGTCAGTTGTATAGATCAATTCTTTATTGAGAATAAAGAGGTCTTGGGATTATATTTTTCTGAAATCAAAGCTTCACAGAGTATTCCTGAGACGGAACTCAATCCTCGATGGGTTTAGTATTTCTTTCGCTAGAGACCAGATTTTATTTTCAACGCAAAATGCAGCTATTTTTATAGATTGCAGAGCTTTTGCACGCGATATGACGTCATTGCTACCTTAGTTCAGCAACTCTCTGTTAGAAAAAGAAATAATTATTGCATTTAAGTAGTGGAAACAGTAGACAAGAAATTGTAGTATCTCTGCGGTACAAGGTTTAGTAGCAAGCAGAGAAAGGAAGTAACAAAGATCAGAAATGAAACAAATGTAGGGTACAATTTTATCTTGTTCACAAGCTATCATAGGACCTCCTGTAAATATTCAAATTTTATAAGTACCGTATGTCAATTAGTGTTGCTATTTTTACTACTGTCCGCAATTAGTCTATCTAGGCTAAACGCATAGACACTTAAATAAAGGTTTTACTTTTACTTGCTTACCTAGAATAAAAAAAAATTTCAGTCTAATTAATAGCAGAGGCCTCTGTTTGTGAATTGACTGACAACACAATCGGGGGCCTTCATAACACTTGCCATCGTGCATGAGTTCTCGACAGGATTTGCGATAGGATCTGGGTCATGATCATAAAGAAAAGAGGCAAGATCGGAAACTCGTTCTGACACTAATGAAGGACCGCAAAGGCACACACAGAAGCACAAATGAAGTCTTCGTGTATTTGTCTTTTCTGTCTACGGGAAGAGAAAATACCTGAAGATAACCAAAACTGTGATAATAAACCACAAACAAGTACATATGGCTGATTGTGAGCGATAAATGTTACAAGAATCGCAAGTCACGAAACGGATTGCAAAGAAGGCTTCTGTACCGGATAACACTCCGTTGAAATGTGGCAATGTCCAATATAGATACCAAAATGTTGTCACTGTGGTAGAAGAAACCGCCTCGAATGTAAATGAAAAAAGGGTGGCAAGCACATACCTAGGAAAGCATAGACAGAACATCCTTTCTCCAACAACAGACATCTCGAGTACATATCTAGCATAGCTTTTGCCGCGAATAAGCAACCATTTGTTCTCTCAGACAGTAAACCATTTGACAAATATTTGAGAGAAATCTGTTTTGAGATCTTGATGATATCCAGCAAATACGCACAAGGGTAAGAAAAGAAAAATTAGCTAGTGGTTACATTTGTACATTGGATTTTCAAACTCAAGTGCTTACTCGTGATAGTCGATAAATATCGGGCCGAAAGGTGTTATCGTCAAGTGTGTCTTAACACCATAAAGTGTAACAAACCGAAGGTCAAGCGGTAGAAAATCTTTGTCACGAATCCGGCACAAAAAAAAAACAATATAACCTGTCCTCCAAGTATATAAAAACGGACTGACCTGAAACCCTCAAAGAGAAATTCAGTCTACGTTAGATACGAAATTAGTGGAACAAAATGAAACATTGCCTGATGCGACAAGACGGCAATATTTTCCCCTCAGCTAGTCAATACAGTAAACAGCTTCTTATTGTATTTAACTGATGTCAGTGCCAGCAACCTCTATAACGTATACCGATGAGTTACTCGACAAAATCACTAACACGATGGCTCATATGAAAAATCCTGTTGCCGCCAAAATAATAGTAGACCAACTGATGCTGGTAAAAAGCAGGCCTGACATGGCAGAGCTCCGGTAGAAAAAAAAAAGGCCAGTGGCATGGGAAGGCGAGTCCCCAGATTACTGGCAAAGGTCTGTTAGGGCGTCATTGTTCCCTTGGGGCATAAGACAGAAGTCTTAGTCAAAAGATCAATGACATGATTTTGAAAAAACTCTAGTGACGATTGCAACCAATGTTTAACCCCATTAAAGCTTGTTAACCTCAACCACCATTGCGACAACAACACTCTCCGATGGCAGATTCCAGTAGCCAGCGTCAAAATCTGATGAAAAGAGCTGGGATTGAATTTTTCCTCCGCGAGTCACAGCCCTCGAAGTTCTAGTACCATGTACCCACTCAAGTGTCACATGATGAGCAATATCGTTAACAAAGCTAAGACTGAATACTATAATCGGCCAAGATGCAAAACTATTAGTCGAGCAAACACGGAGCAGTTTCTTTCCACCACGTACCAACGAAAATGCTGCCATTTGACTTCAAACTCCAGAAATGCAGTCTGTCTATCCCGTCAGCTAACGTTTTGCTCCCCGTATAGTAATCTGTAATGAGCCTCCTAAGAGCATTGAAAATTTGTAACAGACACTGGATCGAAACAGATACCGTAAAGCTGACGGGTTAAAGCTAAACCGACATTGATCGTCGAACTCGGAATTTTTCTCCATTTCTAAGATCGATGAGATACGATGGCCTATAACAATGGTATGAAATCTCGTGCTGGGGTCGTGGTTCAGAAATAGCCCTGTCATGTCTGTGCCAAAAGTGCCGTAAAAGCGAAACATTTTCGGAATAGTGTAGTAATTTCGGACGATTCTGGAAGACAGATCTTTTCAGGACGTTATACCAGCTTTTCTTAGCGTATCTGAGGACATTCGCTACGATATCTATGTTGGCCATGGTTTGTTGAAACCTACCTTTTAAGAGCCTGCCTTTCACCCATCGTTGACTTTGGGTATTTCATTACAATACTGTGTAATTTCGTTCGTTTCGTTGACGCAATAATACGGCTCTTCTGTTTTAAGAACACAAGCGGCGTCGGCAAGCAGTTATGGTTGGCAGTGAGAAGTTTACTTAATGTAAGGTCGTGTTTATAAAAACACATGAAATGTGTTTTTACTATCAGATGTAAACTGAAAAAGATGTTATTTTAAACGAGTGTTAGATTGTGATTTCCGCGCCAAAAACAAAATTGTATGATGACAGTTTACCAAGGGAACACTTCACTGACCACTTCATTTACGGTTTGGTTGACTTGTAGTGCAATTGGGAAGTTCGTTGTTGTTTCTTGTCGATACTGGCTCGCCGGGCGATCAGTTTTTCAGTTTTGTGACGCAGAAGTCGCGTAGCAATTCTGGATATTAACCAACGAGTTAATCAAGCGATTTTACAGAAGTTCTTTATACCACGTTAGACCAGCTAGTAATATTCGAGAAAACAGGCGACAAGTCCATTGATGGGCAAATGACAAATAAGGTATCAACATTAGTGCGAGCCGAACAAAATGGTTAAAACACGCTATAGTTACAGTTCATCAGTTCAAGTACAGGTATTTATGCCTACACAACTTGCATGTCGTTATAAAGGACACCAAGTGCTTGTTTGAAGTCCATCAGTTCACTCTCGAGTTTACCTAGTGAACAAGAAGTAGAATACGAAGTGAGTGAAGGGGGTTGGAAGTATACCTGTAAGGCATCCGTAGCAGAGATAATCTGCCGGGTATTAGGAAAAAGGGAGACAACTACTAGTAAGGGAAAACGAGGAGGAAGGTGTACGGCCTGAGATCTACAGCAATATGGCACGTCGTTTGCAGAAAGTCGCCAATGGATGAGGGACAAACAGTTGTTTGCAGAAAGTCGCCGATTGATGAGGGACAAACAGTTGCGGAAAGAAGAAAAACATGTGTGCATCAAGATAAAGTTTTTAATAGATCGTGGTATCTCACTCCCCCGTTTACAGAAATTAAATTACGAATTTATACGCAAAAGACGTCAGCCCAACTGAGACACTTGTTTGTTTCTGGAGTCGTAGGAGTCGGTGGTTTCTGTTATTTTTTAAAGGTATATTGCGTTTCATATGCAATCTAATTAGGATCACGAACTGGTTCAAAACAGCTGTGTGGTTCAGTAATGATGAGTTGATCATAAAGCACGCTAGCCTCCCACGCAGAGGTTCTTAAAAAACGATGGTGCGATGAGGCGGAGCCTAAATAAGGGTCTGCATAGGAGGCTAATTACCAGTCCTTTGGTTGCTTAGTCGGCAAGATCAAGCTCATCGTCAAGCTAATCAAGTTGTCTCTTGCAAAAGCGCTCATGGAATCATGAGGCTATTAATTTCGTGTTAGCACCTTTGCACCCTTCGTGCATACCGCCTGGCCATGCACGGTGTTGCTTGTAAAAGGTCACCCCTAGATTTAATTGATTGTACATCTTGATAACATTTTTTAATTTCATCCACACGACACGAAACCAGCATGTTAACATGCATCTATCATTAGCAGTCGGTATATATATTATCATAGGTAAGATGTGTTCAAGATGAATAGCATACTTATTCTTTCTAGAACTGCAAACAACTCCTGAAGTTTGTCCTGGATGGTTTTGCTATGCTTCTCGTAAGTTTGAACGATGCTTTCTTCCAGAACACTGCAGGAGGTGTTGATTTGTTCCTCGAGGGCTTTCTTAAAATCTAAAAGATCAAAAAAAAAAAAAAATAATAATAAGATTTTGTTCACACTGACCCCTTTTTGGATAAATAAGAGTTATTTGAAACCATATCCCTTTCTAGATGTTTCGATTTTAGAGGCAAGCCTATTACGGGAGCAAAAAATAATCAACAGCAATTTTAGCACAAGTAAAAAGTTTCGGATTTCAAATCTAAATAATTTCGTTTTTCGGCTCTTTCGACATCTGTTTTCCCGTGTAGCACTATAACATATGGAGTAAAATGCTGTGTTATATAGTGCTTGAATAAGAATCAGTGACAGAGAATTTTTCCTGAGAAATTCAAAACCTGTAGACTAAGAAAATTGCTTTCTTTTCACACCCTGGCTTGCCCATTGTGAACTGTTACTGCTCGGCCACGTAGTGAAGTTTTCGTAGCAGTGGGTCTTTCATCTGCGTAGCAGGTGCAAAAGAAGCTATGGAGACCTTCTATGGGGTGAGATGTTTGGGAACGTGTTTAACAGCTTGCACCTTATAATTACCCTCGTGCCTGTCTACTAGATTTTTGCAAAAATATCTTCTAATATACAGGGCTCGAAAAAAGTGCCGTCCCATTGCCCCGGACAAGTAGATTTTCCTTCTGGGCAAGTAACTTTACATTCTCACTTGCCCAATGGGCAAGAGACCAAGCAAGTCACCCGCCAACTTAATCATTAAAAGGGCAAACTAAGACTTGCCGTGGGCAAGCAAAACTTGAGAGATACTTGTCCCAAGGGCAAGTTGGAA